GCGCTAGCCTTCACGCGAAGTTCGGATACGGAAGTCCCGCCATGTGTACATATATATATATATGTATAAAGTATATAAATACGAAGCCCACAAAAAAGCGGTGTCATCGAGCAAATAGCCTGCGCACTTGAACTTGTAGGGGAAGTGTTTTCCTCCTTGACGTGTTCACGAATCTCGGACGGTTGGTTGAAGGCATGCTGTAGCTGACCTTGAACCCCGTTCAGCCCCCGCCAGGATACATAGATGGGCATTGGTACAACTTGAGAGTGCGAGCCTTCATTTGAACTCTTGCCATCCTCTTCCTCTCTTTTCCGTCCACCTGCTGTGAATGATGCTATGCCAGAAAAGTTTGTTCAAAGCAAAGAGGCAGCTTGACAAAAGCCCTTGATGGAAGCTCTTGATTGTTGTTTCGTTGATCCTCACGCGAAGTGTCGGGTGTTCACATGTCACGCTTGGGAGCGGAATGCAAGTTGACAGACTGAAGCAGCCATCAAGCGGAACTTCAATTTGTCTTTCAGATATCAAGTGGTTCCTGCACATTGCGATATTGGCGCAAGCACAGTCATGTCAATAGCCGGTGATAGCAGGACGTCATGCCTGCGTGCTGGGGTATATGGGAGGTCTCAGCCCGCCTTGCCAAGTGCCAGGCAAGCATCTGGCCAGTACTTTATGTACTACTGCCAACGCTTCCAGAAGCCGCTTGGAGGGCTAAGCAAGTAGTTTCTAAAAGTTCGCTTTGTTTGCCTTGTTGAGCATGGTTTTCTATTCTCCTTACTCTACGTGCTTTTTCAACGCGTGGAGTGCCTGTTTCAACTGCGGGGTTCCTGCGATTTGCAAGCGGCACAACCACTGGAAGCAGCATCTTGCCTGGATCCCAAACCTCTAAGAGGCAGGATTGCAGCTTTGCCATCTCGACTTGTTTGCACAGGTGGCGAATAGCTGAGATCAGTGCTTTCAGCTGCTCGCCAGCACTTGGGTTGGGGTGAAGTCCGCTGGATCTGATGCCACTGGCTTCAAGCAGAATGATCAGTGCATCTTGTCAGAGGACTTCCGGAGGGCTTGCCAAGGCTGCCTTTGGGCGAAAGTCTAGCATGCTGTTCGCGTCTTGTGCCGTTTACAAGGTCAGAACATGGGGGGCGAATGCTATGCGTTCGTGTCAGATGCACATCCGAAGCGGGACATCTTGGACACGTCGCTGCTTAAAGGACCCCGAGCATTTTCTCCAGTCAGTCTTGCAGTTCCTCCGTTGTAGCCGCGTCCGGCGCCTGGATCTAAATGCTTCAGAGCTTATCAATCGTTGCGACAGCAAGCAAGTTGCCTGCGAGGATTCATTGAAGTAGAGAATGGGCAGTGGGTCAACCGCGAGGACGGCTCGCATGTTTTGGGAAAGTGAGCAAGGCATGAGAAATTGAGAATGCAGCTAAGTGCTTCCTTTGCTCCTCTCCATGAGATGGTGCTAATGTTCTAACAGAGCGTGCGAAGTTGCTAGCAAGGTTGTGGAGCTGCCATGATGTGTTAATGTTCCAGTATGTTCGTAGTGTAGGAAGCTGGCGTATCCAAGCTCGGCCGGCTGGGCGACCAGCTGACCGATGAGGAAGAGGCTCTGGTGTCCCATCACCGCGCTTGTGGGTCAAGGCCGTTTCCCTGTAGTTGCAGGCAGAGGCGCCAGAGGCATGTGAAGCCACGGTGGAGCAGTCTGAGGCCTGAGGATGATCACGCCATCCTAAGGCTTAAGGTAAGTAGAACTTCCGCACCTCGGTCAGCAACTGTATGGATTTCAGGACAGCGAGACCTCGAAATGCCCTGTGATGCCAGCCGTCCTAGCCTCATGTGCGTGGCGTGGGGCATTGGGACCAGTTGCCTTTGTTGCGGCTCCGCATCCTCATTGACTGGGTGCTCAGGTGCGCAAGGCCAGAGACAAGGTCGTCCAGGCCAGGATACTATAGTGCTCCAGAGATCGGTGCCGGCGGAGCTCAGAATGAAGTCGCCAGTATGTCCGAGATGGATGACTGGGTCTTGTTAGCGAAAAGTTCAACTCAATGTTGCTATGCTTGTTGACTTTTCTGAGACTTGCTCCTCTACCAGCAAGGGTTTCTTCTTCCGGCCGCATACTGCACCAGGGCTCCAACTGGCCTAGATCAAGCGGGCTTGCATGCATTGAGTGATGAAGCCATGTACAGTTTTGGGTCCATTTATGGGAGGGGTTTATGCCTTACCTTGCCTTGAGTGGACATCCGTGCTGTACCCTGCAACGGTTTGAGAACTTGATCAACAGACAACCCGTTGCAGTGACCCAACTCAGAGCTGCCCAAAACTCCAACACTGCCACAGTCATTTGTCAGAGAGCAGCAGCTGCAGGCAGCGAAGGAAGCTGGCAAGTGGGCTAGGCACGAGTTTCTGTTGTGTCATCTCCTCAACCCAGTCAAGTCCTTGCAACACAGGTGTCTGGCAATGAGCCCAAACCAGTTGGCAGTGCACTTCTGCGGCTCTTGCAATGAAGGCGGCTATTTCCACAGTATCTGGGAGCTCCGGATGAGGAGGACAGCCTTGCAATTCACGATTCTTGTGCTCACTGCTCAACATCCCTCATATGCAAGCATCCTGTGAACGTGCTGTGCGGCTGGCTGGAGCACGAGTCAACCAGTTCTTCTGCAGCATTGACACGAGCCAGCTCGTGCAGATGCTTGCAGCTTGACTTGGAAGCAGCCCAGGACATAGCGCCAGACGGCAACAACCCCCTCTTCTCGAACGATGAATCCGCAAAGGCAGGGACAGGATATTTCTTGAAAGAGAGATCTTGTCACCATGAGCCATGCTGAATGTTCAATCAAAAGTAGTTAGCTGGGTCTCAGGGAGGTCTGTGTGGGCTTGTGAGTCTTGCGCAGCTGCCTATACTGGCCTCAGATTGCGAATGACAACCCTGACGACGCAACTTCCCCCCTCCTTTGTCGAATCAGGGACCAAGATTAAGCAGTCAGGTTATGACCAGAACGTGGAAACGCAAGCGTCCTTGTCATCAGAAACATGATCGTGCAGATGTGGTGCAGCGTAGTGCGGGGCTCCCTCGTGCCAGTCATCGTTAGAGAGGAGCAGGCTTCGGGAACAAAGATTGATTTGGCGGCCGTCGCACCCTTCACGAATTAGGTGTCCTTAGTGCTACCTTCACCTTCTCATTTCTTTGGCTGAATAAGAGCAGTAGCTGCCTATGGCCTCAAAGAAAAAAATCCAACATGCCCACTTGCTTTTTCGGAAGATCAACCGGGGTACAAACCAAGTCCTGGTCCTTCCGGCAGAAACGCCACGAAGAATCCTATCAAAGCGCAGCGCATAGTTTGATAAAGCATATGTATTGTGACCTCCCCCTGAAGAGGGTGGATGCAACTTGCAGACACTGGACGGCTGCAGCTTCAAGGACGGCCTTCCGGCTAAACCCCCCGAAGATTTGAGTACCATGCTCTGTTCCCGTGTGAGTTCTGTGTTTGCGGTTTCTTCTACATGCAGAGACATGGAGAGAAAAAGCTGCAGGGTGTCAGGGTGTTCTGCGGGGCACAGCAAGACACAGCAATGAAGCATCCAGTTTCAGATTGAACGGCCAGGAGCAGTTCTTCATTGAAAAGCAGCGCAATTCTTCAGAAGAAGAGCGCCAGAGCGTGCCTTGGTCACGGAGCCATCGATTTCGAAAGCTTTGGGCTTTGTTGGTCGAAGCTCTCCAGCTGGCGTTTATTGTGATGTTGCTTTGACCGTTGGTTGAGCAGAAGCGCAACTGCAACATGCGGCCAATGTCTCATCTATTGGCAGGAGCTTCAAAGGCTCTCACGGCTGTGCCTGGGTGGCAGCTTGCAGTGCCGGACGCCGGACGTTAGCTAGGATTCAGAGATGTTGCGAGTTCATGAATGTTTGTGCAAACCTACCAGGTCCAGAAGCCCTAGAGCAACAATTGAGCAAACAAGGCAAGACGTGGTCATGAAGCCGGAGCAGAAGAACTGGCTGCTGTGTCACGACTGCAGAGGGAAAACTTCAACTTTTCTTCGTCTTCGCTGGGATGACAAGATGGCGCAGAATCGATGAAGTGTTTCTGCAACCGGAGGGTTCAGGGCTCACAGTGGCCCGAAGTGTACAGCAGTTCAGTGTTTTGTGACTTCCGTTGCCAGTCTTGTGGTCAGGACGCGGGTTCGCCTTCTGCGGCAGCTGACAGCTAGCGATGCCTAAGGCTCGTTGTTCTTGGCTCTGGTAGGTAGGTGCTGCCAAGTATGGGGTCAGGCTAGCTTTGACAGTCTGGCCTTTGTGGTTTGAGATTGTGGCTGGAACAAACTGATCAGGAAGTGTCGCGAGGTTTATGAAGTTACTTGAATGTGATTGAATGTCCATGATCTTGATGTATAGAGTAGCACATTCTTGACCAGTGCGGGGCATGGGTTTGTTAGAACCTTTGTGATGATCTATTGATCATTCCTCAGGACGAGCTGCAAATAGATGCTGATGGAATGATCGATTCAAACAGCGGCCCTTGCTGGAGACAGGCAGATGTAGTGATGAAGCGGATGTTGCTGCGTCCGGATATACTAGTAACGTGGGGTCGCAACCTGGCCCAGCTTTGCGAGGCCTCGATGGCTGCGCTGCGGCGCTGACGCCTTTTGCTGTGTGAGTTGCCTCCGTATGTAGAGCCGCAGGGACGGATGACCACTCAGCTGCTTACAAAAGCATTCCACTGACCTGCGCGTCCGGAAAGTGGAAATACATCATGTGGAGGTTCTGTTCCGATTCCACCTAACCTTCGGACTTTTTAGTCACTTGAGAAATCCAAGCCAAACGTGAGAGATCCCAACTCGGGCTTCCCAGGAGTCGTCTACCGTTGGCATGCTTTACGAACAAGATTTGGATGGCTTCGCAGACGTCAGAGTTTCCGGCTGTTAAGTACACCATGGCTGTGTAGTTCTAGGCAGTAGCGCTCAGAAGCAGGTGTGCACAAGCAGGCCTTTGAAGAAAAACCTTCCGCACAGGTCTGGTGAGCAAAAATTGCCCACGTCACCTCCTTGGAACGATGCTTGGCCAGGGCCTTTGCTGAAAAGGCTGTTGGCGCGGACCTATGTGAGCTACAGTCAATATTAGTCTCATCAAGGGACCATTAACAGTGGACATAGGGCATAGGGGTCCCCTTTGTAGTTTAGTAGGGGCCGTAATATAGTGCCTAACAAGGAACCAACGTCCATTAAACGATGTAGCAAATATTGCCTCTAGCTCATGTGTCACACAGTCCGCGTTGAACGTTTAATGCTACAGCAGTAGACAACAACAGTAGACGATCAAAGCTGCGAAGCCTTGAACGATCCGTCTTGGCCCAAATGTCAGCGCAAACAATTTCATGTTGCTGAGAGGCCTGAAGAATGCTTTGGATGGGATGGCTGGCACCGCAGCGCCAGCCGTCGCCCGGCAGCGAAACACGAATCTTTCCACAGGAGGTCCCATAGCTGTGCCCAGGACTGCAAGACATGAGCAGACCCGAGACCCACTTGGATGCACTCCAGGTTGGTGGGATGCTATACTACGTTGGCAGGCGCATTTGGGTCTGGGCAGCAAGGTAGTTCTAGCGCAGCAGAATCTCGAAGAAGGTGCGCCAGAAGTCAGACTGCGACCAGTCATAGTTGAGCTATGCAGCTTCCTGCCGGAGGCAGCTGCCTTACACAGTTGCGGCCTTCTTTGCGTTTGCCATGGGCGGTTTCTACATTTCGTTGCCGCCGTCTGCGGGGAGCTCTGGACATGCTGGTCAGTAGCCTTGAGACATGCCCTGAGACAGAATGTGTGGCAGGACCTTCCGTGTTTACGAAGTGCATCATGCGAAGATGTATGGGATCCAATGGCTTGATCAAACCTCTCTGGGGCAATGCTCTGCACGGAATTCAAGACGTACTTGTGCAGCTCTCGAGCAACAAGCATCCGCAAACCATCATCGGGTCCCTTTACCTTTGAATGAGCTCGTCCGCTTGTCTCAGACATCTCAGGTTAGCAAACAGGACATGCCAGTGCCCCAGTGACAGAAAGTACCAAGCCAAAATGAAATATGACATTCAGGAACTCCGCTTCAGATCCAGTATTTCCTTTGAAGCAGTATGTCACCGCCAGAAAACGCTTGCTGCAAAGCTCCATTTCTGGAAACAGGAACAGTCCCGGCCTGCAAGGTCTGAGGAGCTGAAGCCGCTGATGACGCCCAAAGTCAAGGCGACACAAACGCCCGTTTACACTACTTCGTTCTACTTCGTTCTACTTCGTGTACTGCTAGCCAGGACGGGAACTATTTGTTGTCTAGTACCGTCACGGGCTGTGCGGTGCTCATGTGAAAGCATGAAGGACCATGGGTACTCTGGGCCATTCTGAGCCTGATTGCTGCTCAAAGTCGCAGGCGGAGACAGAAGCGGATGTGAAAGCTCCACTCCACCATGTGCAGTCGTCTGCGCTGCCGCTGTCGTTTTATGTGCGGTCCCCTGCAGACTAAAAATCATATAAGATTTCGGCTGGCATCAATTTTGTTGCACATCCCGTGTTATTCTTGCATAGTTTCAGGCCTGCTGTGCAAGCCCTTGCCAATTGCAATGCAGCTTCCAGGGCAAGTTAAGCAGCTAGTTGTGTTGTTCGTGTCAGACTAAGCAAGCTCCTTTAGCAATAAGTATGGGTTTATGTGCACTTGGGCAGTTTCCGGATGGGCAGGGTGATAGGCCACCCAGCACGTGTGCACGCAGCCGTCAAGCTCGATGGGCTGAGGGTTACAGTACATGCTATGTTGGCTAGCATACTTGAGAGTCAAAACCTTCAATGCCCCGTTGCAGAGGCTGGAAAGAATTACTCGTCGCAGTGCCTGCTGAACCAGCTCAGGCACCGCTTGGATTGACTGCGCAGCCAGAACTGGCAGTTGAGCAGAGCAAGTAGAGTTGGGACCTGCCATAGTGCTTTCAATTGTCTCTAGAAGGGTGCTGTTGGCCCATGTGAGGATTTTTTTTTCTCTCGCTTTAATGGCTTGTTTCTTGGGATTTCTGGGCCCAACCTGTCCTCGTGAGCCAACGGCATGCATGGAACATGGAACCTAGCCTCACTACATTGGGCTCTTCGACATGTGCACGAATGCTGTCAGCTTGGTCATGGACCCTGAGCTGCGAGAGCTGTACACCATGACTGTGGATCGGATAGAGAAGGACGCAGTGCATCAAAACTCTGTTCACACCTGAGGGAAGGGTGTAACTTGCACCCGGATGGAAAATTGGACTTGCAACAACCAGCAGACTGGAATTAGATTCGATGCGGAGTGATCAGAGAAGAGCTCATCCCCCAAGCATTGCCCAAGCTCTCTTCATTTGTTCTCTGTGTCAGTGGTGCCTCCAATTAGTGGTGCTGGCCTTCACGTCCTCCCGTACCGGCATGTGCTTGTACGAGCTCTCACATGACATAGACGTCCACTAAGAAGCTCCCCTGAGGAGAAAGGCACTGTCCAGGGCGCTGGTGGCATGCGCCCTGTGGCCAGCGTTTCCAGCGGGCTAGCCGTACCCGGGACAGCAATTGAAGGGTTTGTGCTGCTGACCTAGCAACATGCTTTTGCGCTTTGGCAGCTTGTGTCGCTTTGCCTCTCCATCTCCACCATCTCCACCATCTC